CCTTTTGCAGTCACTAACCTGCTCCAGACTAACCAGTACTCACTAAAGTCCTCTTAAGAGGCAACTGGGGAAACTGGTGCCAGTCCAGCTAACTGGGACACTGCACACACATTGTGAAATTCCATGATAATGTACTTTGTTTTCATGGACAACCCTGACCTCTTCTCCTTGTGCTTGATGGAAAGGAACAAGAATCAGCAGAATCACTGAAATTGGGTGTCCACCCCATTCCAAAGAATGGACAGTCCTGGATGGGGAAAACTTGGAATTGCTCTGCTCCTCATGGACTGGCCAGGGATCAAGGGAAGTGAGGAAATTCCTGGAGTGCTGCTGGGTGGGCAGGACCTGCAGTCATCTGAATGGTATAAATTGTAAGCAGAGCAAGTTTCTGATGGTCTAACTGATTCTAGTTACTATTTCAAGTGCAGTGGCAGCTAAAATTAGCTGTGATTAATTGTTAGATCACAAATACCTCACACAGGCATCCAGCATCTGAGCCTTGAAGCAGTTGAATCTCGTCTGATTCATAAAAATATGTGTTGAACCCTTGAATTAATCATTCCGTTCCTTCTCTATTTTCAAGTTAGTCTGGTTTGTTGTTTTGTTTTTTCTTTTCCATATGGACCATTTTAATACATTTTATTATTTTTTTTGACTCTGCTGCCCTGCTTTGCTTTTGAAAGGTGTTCTCTTGTTTCATTCCTCGTTTAAGGAGATTTTTAAGGAAAATCAACACCAGACCAGGTGCTTGTCCTGGATTTGGGGACCCTGGGCATGGCCTGGTGCAGTGTCTGCACCCAGCAGGGGACACGTGGGGAGAGAAGCTGAACCTCCTGGATGGTTTTGGTGTGTTAATATGATTAAAGGATAAATAATACTAAATGTTTCCTTAATAGGAGAAAATACCCAGCATTGACAGTAGTGATTAAGTTCCATTAAACAGTTGTTAGTTTGGACACCAGGTGATTAGTACATCCAAACCACTTCATTTCCAGACTTTGGCACCTTGGTCATTACTAACTCAAGCCATAAAGTTCAGTGAATCAAGTTGTAAATAGTTTTATTGGTCCCATGTTGGGAAAAAAAAAACAAAATGAGGGTTGTGAAATTCCCAGATGATTTCAAGTTATGTGTTTCTTAAGTCCTTGTGTTTCTGCTCTCTGTACTTCAGTTATTCCTCATTGCAGAGGGTTTAAACTCTGCTTTGGCAAGCACTAAATCCAGTGGGCTAATTGAGAGCAGAGAGTTGTATTCCTAAAATAAAATAAACCAAATGGAGATGCACACAGCTGCCAACGTGCCATAGTTATCCAAGGGAGGAATTTCCTCAAGGACACAAGTGGAACAGCTTTTACAGCTCCTGGAGAAAGGTCCACACTTACCCACATGCTGCTAATTATTGAATAAAACACACAACCTCATGTTTCTGTTTGTTTGCTAAAAATAATTTTCACCTTTTTGAGAATTATTTCATGTCCATTTTATGATAAGGTGTCCTTGCAAGTGGTTTTTATTTATTTCCTTTTATTTTTAATGGAGGTTTAGGAATTGAGTTGTATGTCCTGGACACATTTCAAGATGTCAGTGCTATACAACAAAGCTCATTTTAATACCTCTTAAGTGACTGGGAGCAAATTTTTGGTTTCTCCAAACCAATTTGAGGATTAGAAAGATGTGCTGGCTTCATTCTGGTTTAGCTTTCAAATTGCCATGTGTCCTGTTAAGTCTGTTTATGATTTCAGTGACCCTTGCATCACTCCCATGCCACTTTACAAATTGCTGCCGAGGTGTTTATGGCCAGGTGCCTTTCCCAAATGTAAGCGATTTTTCAAGGAGCCTGCCCAGAAACCATCATCTTTTATGGTGTGGTCACAGAAATGGTGTGTTTTTAGCGGGGTAAGGCCTCCCTGATCCCTCAGAGTGCGTGTGTGTGCCTGCAGAAGCCGTGTGTGTGTGTGCGAGGCGAGGCAGGACAGCTCCATAACTGCAGGGAGGATGGAGGAGGTGACTCGGAGTCACCACTTACTCACTGCCACACACTGTGGGAAACCTGTCTTTTGTGGTTTTGCTCTTTTTAGGCCAAGGCAGGCAAAAAGACACACATCCCCCCCCAACCTTGTTACCAAATTTATCACTTGTGGAGAGCAAGATCGGTGTGAGCTCGGAGCTGGGGAGCTGCACTGGGAATCCCAGCTGAGCACAGCAGGTGCTGAGCTGGCAGTTTCACAACAGATTGTGAAATTTGATCTCACAATGGGAAATAGAGCCACTCCTTGAGGGCAATATCTGGAAACATAATGGGGAACCACCCTTCAAAGGTGATCCGGGTAATAATGGGGCTTAGAAACACTTTCTACCTGCTTTGCTTAGAAAATTATGAAAATTTTTAATAGTGTTACTGGTTTTTGCACAAGCACACTATATTTAGCTGTACCTTGACTGGTCCTGAGCTCAGACACACCCAAGGCAATAAACTGCCCAGTGCCACCACCGCTGCAAGGTGGAAAGTGGTCATGAAATTCTCAGTTCTCCTTCTGTCCTGGTCTTCTCTTCTCTTCTCTTCTCTTCTCTTCTCTTCTCTTCTCTTCTCTTCTCTTCTCTTCTCTTCTCTTCTCTTCTCTTCTCTTCTCTTCTCTTCTCTTCTCTTCTCTTCTCCTCTCTTCTCTTCTCTTCTCTTCTCTTCTCTTCTCTTCTCTTCTCTTCTCTTCTCTTCTCTTCTCTTCTCTTCTCTTCTCTTCTCTTCTCTTCTCTTCTCTTCTCTTCTCTTCTCTTCTCTTCTCTTCTCTTCTCTTCTCTTCTCTTCTCTTCTCTTCTCTTCCCTTCTCTTCCCTTCTCTTCCCTTCTCTTCTCTCTCCTACAGATTTTCACTCCTATTTTTTTCTGGAATTTGGTCATCTTTACACCCTCTGAGTAACTTCCACTGCAGATATTCCCTGCTAAATCATGTACTCACCCATGTTAATGAACGTGGAACACCCAGCATTAATGCATTGGCCCCATGACACTCTGCTACTTGATGTCTCTCTCCTTTCTTCTTGAGATTGGCATAAAGATTGCACCTGTGCTCCTGCAGGTACTTTATGCACACCACAGCCTCTGAATAATGTAGACTAATAGAAAAGACTTCAAAGAACCATAACACAGTTTTAAAATGGCTGGAAGGAGAGGCTGATGGGAAATGTTATAAGAATTCCACCTTTCCTGCTTAGCTAAGCAGTAATTTAGCAGGACAGGTAAAGTCTGCGCGAGTATTTCAAAGAAAACAAAAAGCAAACAAAAGCAGAACACACTGCCCTGATGCTGGAGACAAAGGGAGGGAGAAGGGAGAGGCTCTCAGCAAATCATCTGCTCCAGTTTGTCATTTTTTAAGTCTTCAGACAGAGGGTGAGCAGGGTAATGAAAATATTTAGAGAGATTTGGGTGTTATTTGATAGAGGGAGATGCAAGGGGAGAGTGGTGTAGCAGTGACCTGAGCAAGTCATTATGTGATTGAAATCTGTTACCCAGGAGCTCATTAGCAACAGAGTAAATGCCTTTCCTTCTGGAGCTGTGGATATTCTGCTGGATATCTATCTCACATCAAATTAAAACTCTGTCAAAGCCACAGCAGGATTAACACCAGGCTGCTCTTTCCAAGACAGTGATTTCCACAGACACTGGAACCATCAGTGCTGAGGAATCAGTGACCAGCAGACACCAGAATTATCTGGATATTTGGAACTGGAAAAAAATGCTGCAAGTCAGTGAATTCAGACATTTTATGAGTCAAAATTGCATTGCATAGGATAAAGAAAAAAAGAAAGATTTTAGGGACAATATTCTTTTAGAGTGAAATTTGGTCATTTTCTCATGGAACCAGTATGGAGATGCCATCAGAGTGGGATTTCAGAAATGCACTTTGTGTTTAAGCAGGGAACAGCAGAACAGAGGCTTCAGAGCAGACTTCAGGGGCACACATTGAATAACTGCTCATAACCTCATTTATGGCAGCGAGTTTTGGCAAAGTGCCTTTGGATATTTGCCAGTTTGGTCATTGGGAATTTATCTGCTACTGAAAGTCAGCTCCAGCAGAATAGGGATTAGATATGGAACAGGATTACATAATAGGCTTTTAACAAGGACAATCTTGGGCTGGACATTCCAAGATATTTGGCTCAGTAATAATAACAATGTAATTATGACTTTAAAGATAAGAGAAAATCAACCATGCTGATTTCTGTGACTATTTAAAGATATTGCAAGTGAGCAGATGGACAAACAGTTGATACCTGGAAAACAAAAGCAGTGATTTATAATAAAATAAACTGCAGAACACAGGGGTACATTAAAAAAAAATAAATCTTTAATGCAATCCTGTATATTTTAGGACATAGAGATTCTCTCCTTTTCAGGGAAAGGTCTTATTATGAACTTGCAGGCTGAAATCTGACATAAATAACACTGGGGCAGATGTTCTGGAAGAAAAATAATCTTTTACATGCCTAACATTGGGACTGAAAATAAATATATTTCAAAATAGGATGGGCTGACAGTGATTTTTCAGTGATCACAGCTTGCTGTCAGTGCCCACAGTACATAACAATCATGTACACCTTGCACATTTACACATAGACAGGTGGAGAGATGTGACAGCACAGATCTGTGCATGAAATCAGGAACTCAGAGTCTCTCTCCTTCCTTTCCTGTATTCACACCTCTCTTTTTGTTTTAACTTGCTGCAGATTTCAGACTTGCTGGAAAAGCACTGGGGGCAAACACCCCTGCAGAGGCAGAAAATCTAAAGGTGGGAGGGCTGGAAAGCCAGAATCCACCTCGTCCTCCTGCTGGGGTGACAAACCCGAGCAGCAGCCGGGCAATATCACTGCTGTTATCAACAGGAGGATTTCACCTGTCCTTTTCCACACAACAGGCTTTTCTCTAAACATCTGCCTCTGGGGGTGACAGTCCTGCTGTCCTTGCAGCTCTGGCAGGAGCAGCCGTGGTTCTGCCTCCTCCCCTCGTCACAGACAGGTCCCAGTCTTGTTTGCCCACGATGGGAAGGTTTGCAGCTGGAACAAGGATGAAGCCCAGGTGTTGATGGCCAGAGTGATGGTCAGAACTCCCAGAATGTTGAGTACAAACCCAGCTTTGGCCTAGAATTATAAAAGAAAAGCGTTGTTAGCAGCCCTGAGCACTTTTTTCCTTCCTTGATGGTTGGGATGGGTTGCATGGTTCGATTTTCTCTTTGGAGGTTTTTTCACACCTCCACCAAATTACATTTAAGTTGTTTTTCCTCACAAACATAATTTGCACAAAGCAAAAGGTTTCCATTGGATAAAACTCTTAAAACTACAAGTCCCAAAATCCCTTTAATCCACGTCTCTTCTGACCTGGTATTTCTCTCTAACTTACTTTGGGTTTCTTCTTGGATCAATGATAAGTTAGGGAAGTTATCAAGAGACATGGCACCGATGTCCTTGTGTCTTTAGTGATTTCTGGAGGTGTCAGGGCACCCAGTGAGATGTGCCAGGCTGTTCCCTGTCCCTGCAGAAGGACTGCCCAGGTGACAGGGCTCTTTGACACCCTCATGCTCTATATTTGGATTTTTCAAGCAGTTAGACATTTCCAGCTCTTATTATAGAATCTTCAAGAAGCCCTGGCTGTTCTTTAAAAGCTCATTAGCACCTTTATAAGATTCTCAGAGTGTATTAGAGACAGTGTGACCCTTTCTTTACACACACACACATCTCCTTTCCACTTGACATAAGCCGGGCACCACGACTTTTCTAATGCTGCCCCAAGAAGAACCAGCACTGGGAAAAGGAAAGATCAAACCTAGGGGTGAAAATCCTGGAAAGAAAACGTTGTTTGGTTTCTTTTTCCTCACCATATCAATAACCCTGAGCTGTCCATAGGAAAAGACAATGGCATTGGGAGGAGTTGCCACGGGGAGCATGAAGGCCAGCGATGCAGAGAGTGTGCAGGGCAGCATGACATAGAGAGGGTTGAGGCAAATTGCTTCAGCCTGTGCACAAAAAAGAGAGCAGAGGTGATGGTTCTGATACCTAGAAATGCACAGAAACCTTCTGGAAGAAATCTGATTGTATTTGTCCATGTCAGAAGCCTCATTCTTCTTCAAACACTGCAGCCACTCATATTTTGGCGCTGCTTTAGACACTTCCAGCATCTTTATGCAGCGAATGCAAGAATTGATTTTGTGGTCAGGGCTTTGTGTTGTTATAAATGGATAAATAATGCTTATATTCAGCTCTAAACTCTGGCTTCAAATTGGTTAAGAACAAAATTAAATTATCAGGGGAGGCAGGTGAAGCTCTGAAGGTGAGAGCTTTGGCTTAGGGGTTGGCTGGAGTCTGTACAAAAAGATGCAAAAAGATTTTGGAGGAGCTCATTCCAGTTTCTACCTGAAACCAGGATTGCAGAACTCTGCCTGCCCCAGCGACAGGAATCTCCTGTGGAAATGCAGAAGTCTGAATTAGGTCATGCTATCACCTTCAGAGGCTTCTGGAAGGCCAGTGGTGGGGGTGAAATGGGTGAAATACAGTCATGGAATGTTGCAGGCAAGGAAATGCTGCTGCTGGTGCTGTCCCCGTGCAGAACAAATTGGAAAAAACAAGTACAGCTGGCAGTGACCTCATGTTTAGGCCAGAAGGCAAAGTCTTCATATGCCAATGAGTTTAATCCCTTGCTTTTCACCAGCAGTGATTTCAGACAGGTTGAGCTAAGCACGGTGTGTGTTCGCATATGCACACTCAGGTTTTTGTTTTAAGTCTTGATGGGGTACAGGAAGCAGCGCTTGGCTTTGCCAGCCAGTTAATTTTGACAGCTGAGGAGCTGAAGAATGAAGCTGAATGTGAATAAAGAGTATTTTGAGAGGCTGGGGCTCACCATTGAAGCCAGAATGGGGAGGAAGAGGGTGGTGGTGGCCACGTTGCTGGTGCACTCGGTGAAGGTGGCGATGAGGAGGCACAGCAGGAAGGCGATGGCTGGGTGAGGGATGCTCTGCAGAGGCGTCAGCTGCGTGCCCAACCACTCAGACAGACCAGATTCCTGCAACACAGCAAAGAGGGGTGCCAGGCTGCACAGGGAAGAGCCACATCTGTGCCCTGGTGAAGCTCTCGTGACGATTCAGCCCTCCCTTCCCAGAGCAGTTCTGGTGCAGACTGCTGAAAAACACATTGGATTGTTCAGCAGGTTAAACAACAACAACAAAACCCCATTATTTCCCATCCAAGGAACTGGAAAGTAGGAGATCCTGCATTTATAGTGCATTATTGACAGCAAATAATTATTTCTTTGTTCAGATCATGACTTGTACGTGATCAGTATTTGAGGCATTTTTTTTTTAATGTAAGCAAAGATATTTGAATTAATTTCCTAAAATATTTTTATATATATTTTATCACATGCTGTAGTGATTTAATGTCATTTCATCACACTGCCTCAGATCTTAAGAACTGTCTGAAGCTTTTCACACCCTTCATCCTTGTCAGTCACTGGGAAGTAGCAGCATCCACTCTGTCATTCTGGGCTTTCTGCAGCAGCTTTTATGTGTTTGATTATTTATTCTAGGATAAATTAAAATATTTTTAATTATTCATATAATTAAATTAAATATTTCCTTTTCCAGACACGTGCTTTTCCATTTTAATTTTGATCTTTGAATTCTAAGCTAGTACTTCTAGGTGCTTGAAGCCTTTTAGAATTTCTTTATTGTGTATAGCTTTAATAAATGGATTGTCTGTTCCATCACTCAAATCATTACTGAAAAATAATGTGTAGCACTGGGCTCACTCCTGCAGATGTTTTTTTTCTGCTCCTGAAATTTCTGTAGCAAGCTCTACATTTCTCTTCTAACAGTTTAATTTAAATCCTATTTCCATAAATCCTTGGTTTGAAATACTTTGTGGACCCCTCCTGGGTAAATCATCTCCTCATGGTGGCCTCATCAATTACATTTTATTTAAACCTTTAAGGTGTTGGGGCAGTTTCTTAATCAACCACTTTTCTAGAAACACAATTAACTGTGCTGCCCTGATTGGCAGTGCCATCCCACGGCACAGGGAACAACCAGGATTTGTCCTGATCCCAGCATTCCAAGGATGGTCCCAGCTCCAGGAGCCGGGGAAAGGAGCATTTGATGCTCCCAGTGTGCCCTCTTGTGTCCTGGGACAGCAGAAAGAGCAAAGAAAGCACCCAGGAGGACACAAAGCTGAGCTGAGGAATGTTACCTCACTGCCTTTGGCCAAGGCAAAGCCACCTCCCAGCAGGAACACGATGTTCCACGGCATCTTCTCCTGAACGCTTCTCCAGTCCAGGAGGGCTGGGGGAGCCCGGAACTTTGCTCTGCCCTCTGGAACCCAAAAGAGATTTGGTGAAGCTGTGTTAGACTCTCCAAAGAAAGGAGAACTTCTTGGTGGGAGGTGAGTTTGGTCTGAGCGTCAGGAATCCCTTCTGTCAGCAAACTCTGGAATGATCTCCTGAAGCAAGTGCTGGGAGCACCACCAACAAAGGTTTTAAAACTTGACTTGCAAAAGCTCTAATGAATGATCTGTAGCTGCTCCAAGAAGCACAGTAGGAGGCAAGGAAGGGTGAGTTAAAGGTGTGGCAACAGCTCTGTGTGTTTCTCTTAAGTCCTGTATTCCCTCCTGAAGATTCCAGCTCAGAATCCTTTACAAATGTGTGTAACAGGAGCAGGAACACTGATAATTAGGATAAGAGTTTCCTAATTAGTTAAATGATGAGAAACAGAGAATTTCATGCAATATGTGCTTTGCCAACCCCGAAGCACACAGCTAGAAGAGCAGCTTGAATTGTTATTAAATATTTGAAGTTTCCTTTGTAAACTAAAAATGTGAAAATTTCCCATGTACCTATTCAGACTGCCCATTTCTGGTGCTTCAGGGACTCACCTGTTTGCTCTTCATCTCTGTCCTGGTGGGAAAAGCCAGAAGGGAGGATGAAGAGCAAAATGGAGATGAAGAGGGCGACCGTAGCATCGGTGACATAGCTGCAATAGAGCAGTCAGGTGTTTATTCAGATGTGTTTTCAGCTGGGTAAAATCCAGCCAGCTCCATTTTTATTCAAAGTGAGGAGGAGAAGCGGCACTACCTTGTGTTTTCTTGGTTGAAGAGAACAGTTGCCCAGCCTGGGATGAATCCAGGTTCTCTTGTAAACCACAGCAGCACCAGGAGAACAAAGAGGATTGAAACTTCTATTTCTGCAAATTTCATTTTGCCCAGCTTCTTGCTCTCTTCCTTGATGGTTTCATAGGCCTGTTTCTCCTTAGCCTTGGCAGCAGGACTGGCACCACAACCAAAATTCTTCTTAAAACTGGAAGAAAACGGATGAGAAATGTCAGAGAAATTCGAGAGTTAAAAATCTAAATTTTGTACTCAATCATAATGCCTTTCTATGTATTTACATATGAATATTGAAATTAAATATATTATAATTTGCAACCATGGTGAGTAGGAGCTGCATGTCTTGGCAAGATGACGAGAAAAAAGCTTCCTGCCCATAAAAGCTCATTATTTAAATGTAAAGAAGTGAGATATCTGGGCACATGAGGAAAAAAATTACAGAATCACACAATGGTTTGTGTTGGAAGAGACCCTAAATTCCATTTCATTCCAATTTCCTGGGCAGAGACACCTTCCACTAGACTGGGACAATGTTAATGTGATTGACAAGGCTGCTTGATCACTGGGAAGAGCTTTTTAAATTGATAATGAGAATTTGAAAGGAGGGATTTGAAGGCAAGAATACCATTTCAGGTGTAACAGCACTCATTCCATGTAAAATTAGGGAAGTTGGGATAATAGAAACACGATAAGCTGAGAATTAAACAGGCAGGCAATGCAAACTGGTGGTGTTGGGTGATCTGCACCAGAACTAGCACAGAACTAATCTAGGTCTGGAGCAGCCCTGGTCACAAAGGCATTTACCAGCTCTCTGTAGAAATCAATTTCCTGCTCTGGAGCACAGCAATCTCCTAGGACACGACAGCAATGCTGCAGAACAGGTCATGTGCACTCAGAGCTCCCTATTTTCATTTACAGAGTACATTTAGCTAAGGTTTGATCAGATCCCTCGAAGAAAAACTCACAGAATTTTAACAGGCACCGGGAGTTCTGTTCTGCTCTCTGGTGTGCCGTGGCTTTGTCACTCCTGTGTGATTTTTCACATCAATAAAAGGGTTCCTGGTGTTGGACCAGCCCTTGATCAGAGCCCCAGGGGCTCAGGGGAACTCACTTGAAGCCCAAGTACAGGATCTGCAGCCAAATCCACGCCAAAATCAGCAGCAGCACCATGGTGGGGAAGGCAAAGGAGAACCAGGAGGCAAAGTTGATGATGCCACCGTTGTCTTCAAAGAGGCTGGAAAATGCAGGTGGCTGTTAACATCCAGAATTCCACATTCTCTTTTGTCCTCCATTAATGAGTCAGCAAAGGGGAGGTTCAGTGTGGTCCAGGAAGGAAAAGCAGCTCCCAGGAAAGGGACCAGACTGATATTTTCCTTCTCTGAGCTGCCTGGGAGTCAGCTGCAGCACAGTGCTGCACTTTTGGGGGTATGTAATCCCAGACTTACTCATTAACTTGTCCTTGCAGCACGAGGTTTGGTGTTGTCCCGGTCAGAGTGGCGATCCCTCCGATGCTGGATGAGTAACAAATGCAGAGGGACATTCCCTTGGAGAGATTCAAATGTTTCTTCTCAATCTCTTCAGCTCTCTTACTCTCTTCCTCCACTGTCAGGACATGAGAATTACCTAGATGCCAAGGAACAAGAGATGCAGGAGGATATTGGACAGGAAAAGGCTTTGGGCCTGCATTATTTAATATTTCAAGGCCAGAACACAATGGATTCACAGCTGAAGGAACCCAGAGTTCTTCATTTTAAGGCTGGCATTGTTAATTTTTTGATCTTCTGCCCATTTTCGCTGGTTGTCTTGACACAGAACAGTTTTTTCAGAGGGGAATTTGAAATGTGTGATAAAGTTTGAACCCACTGCTGACACTTCCTTGTGAATGAGGGCGATGTCCTGAACAGGGGGGTGAGGCAAGAATTCAGGGAATTATAGCAGAGTTGGAGGAGCTGGGCTGAAGGGAACTTTTCCTGTGTGCTGGCACTGAGGTTCATGTTCAGAAACACTGCAACCACCTCAAAAATGAGGAGAAGGGCAAGACAGCTGATAAAGAGCTATTGTTGCTTGATTGTGTACCTTTGGATTAGAACAATCATTTTAATCCCTAACCTTCCAGCTGGAAATGGGCCAGAAATTTTCCCTTGGGAATTCCCTGTTATAAGTTACACAGTAGATAATAATTGAACAGACATAAATATGCAGGGAGATAGGAAGCCTGATGTAAAATCTTCCCCTGGAAATTGGAGAATTTGTACTTTTTGTCTTTTTATTGAGTAGCTATAACCTCTTTGTATTTTTGATTTAACTTCAGCCAAGTCAGTAGCTCACTGTAGTTCTGTCTGGTTCTTGGAAGAGCCTCAGCAGTGCTGTGTGGTGCAGTCAGGATGCTTTGGGGACAACCTTCTTTTAGAATTTTAACAAAGGAATTGCTATGACAGAAGAAAGCACCAGGTCATCCTCCATCAACCTGAAGAGAAAACCACCCACAACCCATTCACCTTTTTCCTCTGGTTCTTTGAAGCTGTCAGGTGACTTCTCCTGCAGCTCAAAGGCTTTGTTGGTGTGCTCAGACCCTTGGCCAGTGGTGCCAGACTCAATTTCTGACTTGTGCAGCTGCTCCATCACTGCCTGTGCTATGGGGACCATCATGGCAGTGGTGGCTGTGTTGCTGATCCACATGGACAGGAAGGCTGTCACGACCATGAAACCCATCAGGAGCCTGAAATAAGAAGGTTTGGAAAAGCTGGATCAGAACTCAGCCCTGCAATGCTCTTTATTTTTTGTTACAAAGAGTCAGCTACTAATGCTGGGTTTGGAAAATGCTCAGCAATCCCCACCCAGCACTTCCTCCTGCCCTGGTCTGTTTTGTGAGAGACATAGTTAAGATTTAAGATAATTTTTCTTTTTCAACCAATTTTTTTGACATTCTTATGGCTAAGAAAGTGGAATGTGGTGGCTTGGAGCAAGCAGTTTATCCAGTCACATCCTGCTTATTCCACATCCTTCTGGAGAAGACATTTCTCAATAACACATGTTAGTGCATTATAATATATTTTGAAGAGGAATTGCAAGCTGAATTTGATCCCAAATGGCAATCAGTTTAAGCCATAGGGAAGATGATATCTTTTTTTTCTTTCTCTTGTTATTTTATCCCACTTCTATTATTTACAATCCTCTTCTTTCTCATCTAAAATTCTAATCCTCATTTCAGTATTACTCTGTTATTTGTCTCAAAATTATTCTTTAGATGAGATGTAGATTATATATCAGATGAAAAGGGGTTTATCTTGTATGCATTTTTATTCTATCACTTTGTAATTTCCTACAGCATTCCCTCTTCTTATGAGCTGAAACAGATTAAACAGGGTGATGTAGCCTGTGCATGGCTTAAAGTTCTAGTCTGGAAAACATTTGTTGTTTTCCAAACAAGCACCCCAGTATTTCCTCTTCTCTTTTCAGTCATCAGCAGACAGAGTGTCCATGTTTTCTGTATTCCAGCTGAGGTTTTTCCTGACTGCCCAAAGCTGTGCTCCAGGCCCAGCCTGGCAGCAGCCTTCTTTTTCCAGCATTGACTCTCTTGTTGCTATTTCTCCACCTAAAACCCTTTTGGAATAAAAAAAACAAAAAACAAAACTAAAAAACCCACCACCCAAAACCCAAAAAGACACACCAGGAGTGTAACACCTCAAAGGATCCCCAAGGTTTGCTCAGGCACTAACTCACTTGGGCTGTAGGAAAGCATTTGTAGGGCAAGATTTGTGGATTTCCATCAGAAATGGGGATCTAAGGCCATAAAATCCTTTATCCCACAGCATTTGCACCAGTGTAACTCACAGGGCTGGCCTGACACCTGTGATGAGCAGGACCCTCAGAGCCACTCGCTTGTGCAGGTTCCAGTTCTCGATGGCAATGGCCATCATCAGCCCCCCCAGGAACAGCATGTTGGTGTCCTTCAGGTACTCCCGACACACCTGGGAGCGGGGAGAACGGAGAGGGAAGAGTCACAGGAGAGAGGGGGCATTTTCTGAGGGAGTTTATTCCAAAGGCATCAGCAGGGAGTAACTCTGGGTTGTGTCTGGACGGGGAATTTGCTTTGATTTCAGATTAGCAGCTCCACCCAGAGCTCACTCTGGGCTCATGCAAGGTCTAGTCCAGGGAGATGACAGAGAACAGTAAAAGGAATAATAAAATTTAAGTAAAATAAAATAATAATAATATCAATCATATAAATATAGTGATTATGATGATGGTCATAATATAATGTTGGGGAATAATCCCAGAGTAAAAGCAGCTGACTGATTAATACATGGAGTGAGAACTCTTACTGTTGTTGAATCCATGATATTCATTAGTGGGAACAGCAGGACAGGCAGGAGAGCTGTGACAGCCAAAGGCAGGGCTTCTGTGCACCAGAAAAGTGCCATCACTATGATCACATAGCCACACAGTGCCTCCTGCCAGGGGAAGGGGACACCCAGTCAGAACACGATGAACATCGAACCTGGAGCTTTTCCAGAAGCCAAGGCCCCATAATTACATTCACTGCCTGATAAAGGGATTAGAGAAAAGGTTATTTCCCATGCTGCTCTCCCATCTGGCCTCTGACCTATGCAGATCCTAATCAAATGACAAACTGTGCAGCAATCTCCTCAGAACTCTGAGAAGATGAGGCCTTCAGCAGGGGCAGAAATAGTACCAGAGGTAAAGAAGTGTGGGTGACTTTGGACCTTTCATGATAAGGGATTGGCATCACTAAATCAAGGCTTCTTGATTGTGCTGATGGTGTTATATTCTGTATTTATGTCCTTGAGCTGTAGAATCAGTTACGGATCCAGTCAAGGCTTCTCCACCTGTTTCCGCTTCAGGTCATGGCCCAGGTGAACCTCAGATAATCCCAACAGCCTGGACTCCTTGTACTGGAAATACTTTTATAGCTTTTCACTGGATTTTTAGCTTAGTGGAAACTTTGAAAGGCTCCCTGGCAGACTGGCTGCAGATCATTTCAGCTTCCACTGACTTGGTCTTGGTTGTTTGAGGAAAATGGGATCCTGTATTTCATGTCACTCTTATTCTGAGAAAACCTTGATTTAGTTCTGCTTTGGCCATTCACTCCAAATTTCATGTAAAAATGTTTAAGTCAGTCCCTGTACACGGAAAAGATTCAAAATTACTCGTCACAACAGTGGCATTTGATTGGGCCAAGGAAGAAAGTAAGAGGAGGTTTTGGTGTCTTCTGCACTTTGGAACTTGCAAAAATTCTTGGAGACACCGAAGCCAAAGGAAGGAAACCATGGATGTGTGGTCTGGGATAAAGGATGTCCACTAAAATGGACTGGACAGTATGAATGACATTAAGTGTAGTGATGAGGTGGATTACAGAAGATTAAACCAAGGAGCCGGAATAATGGGTGTCAGGATTGGATTTGGGACGCTTTGGAACGCACTCAGGAATTCTGAATGTGGTGTGCAGGTTCCAGAGCTGCTGAAGGGAAAGGGAAAGCAGGGAGCTGAGCAGCACAGAGGAGAGAAGACAGCAGTCTAGGTGAGAATTACCAAAGCAGCCAGGCTGAAGAAGTAAGTCTGAGGGATTCCCAAAGACACAAAAATATTCCTTTTTGAGCCTTATTTTTGAACGAGAGAATCAAGAACCTCAATTATTCATCCTGCTGATCACTGAGAGCAATTTGCACTTTTGACAATCCTTTTTCTCCATTTTTGTTATTAAAAAACACAGACAAATGCCTTTTGAGAGACCCTATCAGAGATTTTGGGTGTGTCTTGTAGGAACAGTGCCATTGCCTTCCATCCTTCTGCGAACAGGCTCTCAGTAAAAATGGGAAAAGTGTTTTCCCAAAGTCGGCCATCCTGTAAGGACATTCGTCTGCCTTTAAGTAAGATTTTTAGCATGGTTTGCTCTCAATTATAATAGCTCAGTGTCCAGTGCTATGTCATTATAGGGCAGGTTAATAGATCAACAGAATAGAAAAAATGTGAAATTCCACCCTGTAGCTGCTGGCTCACACACTGTGTGCAGAGGCACCAGCTTTTCCTGCTCAGAAGTGGCACAGTGCACAACTTTAACCCCAAAAACCCCTTCCTAAAGTTCCCTTAAGTCACAGAGGGAAAAATCCAGCATGTTTTCAATTTTTGTCCTGTTGCTGACTGCACAGAAAGCAGAGAGAGTCATTTTCAGAGAGGAACTGAACCAAGACTGCTAAATCATAGCACAGGTAACTCCAAGGACTCACTGTATGTAACAATGCCTCCAGCAAGTGAGCTTGAACTCGTGGCCTCAGGACAAAAAAAAAAAAACCAACAAACCCAACTCTGTCTCCTTAGAACTTTCCTGATCCTGATCTCTTTTCACTTCAGTAACTCCTTTGCCTATGGAAAAGTTAACTAGCAAAAAAAAGGTACTTTTTATTTTTTTCCCCCTCTTCCTAGCAAGCTCTTAAGTAATAGTTTAAACTATTTTATTTACCCAGCGAGGGAATGAGAGGCCACACCTGACCAGCTGCCACACTCAACAGAGCTGTGAGGATGACAGAGCTTTGGGACAGGCAGGGAAGAGTTAGGGAGGTGGGGAATGAAGCTTGGAGAAGGAGCCTAAACTGGGAATCAGCAGGAACTGGGAGGGTGAGACCAGAGAGAGGAGTTAGGACTTGGTGTCCAAAGAGAAGTGACAGGAGGGGCAGTTTGGGACGAGCTCCTTCGTGGTGCTGGGGCTGTAATAAGAGACCAGAGATTAGATCTTTCTGCATGAAGAGGTTGGGAGTGCAAGAAACAATGAAGAAGCAGCAGAAGACTGGGAGTCTGTCAGCTCCCAGCTCTCTCTTTAAATGAACAATGCCCCAGGAATACCTGCCCAGATACTACAGCTCCCCAGTCAACTTTTCCTGCAGGAACCCTGAGCCAGGTGTCTTCCAGAGCTTGGTGTTTTAAATTTAAAGTCCTTGTTTGGGAAGATTCTTACAGAAATATGCTAAAGCAAGATTGAAATGCATGTTATTTTCTCATATGTAGCGGAATGTCTTGTCTGGCTAAAAATGCCTCTTCTAAGCACGGAAAAAAATTTAAATATGTGGACTGAACACTGTTAGAAAATGAAAAGGGGGATTAATATTGAGCTTTAGGTCCACACCAGTAATCTTCAGCATAGAAAGTCCTTGTCTAAATCAGCCAGATGCAAAGCAAGAGTCACAAAACCTCACGTCACTGAGTGTTCCTCTAGAAGATGCAATCACAGATGCTGCTGCTCATCCATCTGTGCCCCAAAGTTTTACATCACCCCAATATGCTCAGGGAAAAAAGAAAAGAGATGTCCAAGCAGTAGATGCAGGTGCTCTGAGAAAGAACTTCTTTACACTTGAAAAGAGCAGCTCTGAGACATTTTAAATTGAACTCTAAAAATTCCTTACCTTGGTAGGCAGAACCAGAGGCAGAGGGAGAAAGACCAGGGGCACCAAGACGATGATGAGGTATTTCCTGCAGGCCAGCACTGCCTGCCAGGAGAAAGCCATGGTGCTGGAGCTAGCCCAGTGCTGAACGGCCTGGAATCTGCTGCTTGGAGCCTATATAAACACCAGGGAATATTAACCATTGACCTCGGGAGATTGGGTGTTGTTTTTGGAACTGTAATCGGAGAAAGAAGGAAGAGAACAAAGAAGGGAGGAGACAGTAAAGAGTGTCAGAGCAGGAACTTTCTCAAGAGAATCTTTCGGAAAGGTGATAAATCCATTAGAGATTTAACTCCTTGTGGAGCAAGTGGGATTTTGAAAGCATCCTGGAACGACCTACACTTTTAAAAATATAATGTTTTGGTCTCTAATTATGCTCTCTTTGAATAGGTACTATTATTCCTTCTATCAAGAAAGAGAAACTGCTCCCTCCAAAACAGGTTGAAAAATTATTTCCATTTTCAAAAAATACGAGGGAACACTGAAAACGACATCTGCATCTACAATGCTCAAATACAGGGATTAGAAACACCAGAGTAAAATGTTTATGTAATGTAATCATTGTTTATGATGTTTATGTTTGTTCACTGAGAAATTCACTTTGGGTAGCAAAACCCCCACTGGGCAGAGCTGCTGTCACCAGATGCCACTTGAAGTCCGGACTGACAGTCCTTACCTTTGGTTTTAGAGGATTGGGAAAGACTTGGCTACAAGGGATCCCTTTGCAGACACTGGGCTATTTTTTATTTTGCTTTTTTCCCCCCACATTTTTGATCTGGCAGGTTTATAGGCACAGCTTTGGGAACTTGCAGGGTGTATTGGGTGGGGGAGAATTAAGAAGAAATGATGCTACAGGGAAATTACCAGTGATTCTTGTCTCAGTTGCAGGCATCTCCCAAAACACAACCTGTGAATCACTGGATTCCATACATTTGCAGGAATAGTACAAATCATTTTAAGTCCAAAGGGTATTTCTTGTTAATGCCACATTGATGGCTTTGTTGGATCATCCAAGTACATCCCTCAGGTAATGATGATAACATTTCCATTTTATTGGAAATTTATAAATCATCTTGGTACTGTTTATAGCTTTCTCAAGAAGAGAGATACAAAGGGAAGCACGGTCATTAGGTCATCTGATGTCAGCTCCACAAAAAGCTTCTGCTGTTTCTGCCTCTCATCCCTTTTCTGACAGGGCTTGTTCTCTCTCAAGAAAGTGCTACTGATGGAAAATCAGCTGCCAGATTTGCAAGCTGGGTTTGGGCATATTGCTCACAACAAACAGCATCACTTTTCTTGGTGCCAACCCTGAGCTTTAGCATCTCATCCTTGGTACAAAAAGAATGAGAAAGCGCTTTCAAATTAACTCTGTTCCCTCACATCTTGAATCCATTGAATGTTTAATTACTGCCTGACAAGGTGTAGTGGCAAAAGCAGCCAACAGCAAGGTCATTTTTCTGCTTTTTTACTCTTATGCCCTAAGGTTGCAATGGAAATCTAAAATAACACCTTGTTCTTAAATCTCTGAAGACAAAGGTTGGCCTCCAGCTGAAGCCCCATTTATGGAGTGAAAATACCAATGGTGGAAGGGTCTCAGCTGAAGAATTGTGCTTGTTCTTTAAAAGTATCACCTCCACAGAGATGGCTGCCACTGTCATGTGAGTCACAATACTCTCAAAGATGGTAAAAATGAGTTATAGAAGTGCTTAACTACAAAATGAGTGGTTTGTGTCTTGTTCAAGCTTTTCCTGTGGCCCGTGAGCACCTTGGTGCCGTCAGAGGAGTGATGCCAATTTACATTAGTTTGGAACTGCTCGAGTTTATATAAATGGGTTAATCTAATACTCTGGATTATGTGCTTTGAATTTAAAGGACAACTTGGTCTTTGCTTCCTTATCTGCTCTTCGAGGTAGGCAAACCTCACAGGAAACCAAACAGCACAGCCAAAACTTTCTTCTTTAAATGAGTTTATAAGTTATTTTATAAATAAAGTCCTTTATAAAAGGAAGTATTTTCTAACATGCTACGAAGTAGAAGTGAGCATGTATTGCTAAATACAGTATTTTGCTGATCCTAGTGCAGTTAAAATGTTGATTTTTGTTTTGCTTGGTTTGTTGAGCATGGAGAACACGGAGGGGAGCCTTCATCTCATTCTGTAGCTTCCTCCTCAGAGGCTTTGGAGGGGCAGGGGCTGTTCTCTCTTCTCTGGTGACCAGTGACAGGACCCGAAGGAACAGCATGAAGGAATGTCAGGGTGTTTAGGCTGCATTTTAGGAAAAGGCTCTTCACCCAGAGGGTTTGGGCACCAGCAGAGGCTGCCCAGGCAAGTGGTGGAGCCCCATCCCTGCAGGGGATCCCAATCCCTGCATCCCCCATCCCTGCAGGGATTTAGGAGTGTGTAGATGTGGCACTTGGGGACATGTTTTAGCGGTGGCTTTTGGACTCGATGATCTCAGAGGGCTTTTCTCACCTCAACAATTGCATGGTTTTGTGGAGCATCACCCCCTGAGGGCTGCACCTTTAGCACCGGGCTGGCTGCAGCGCCAGCACCGAGGGGTCTCGGGAGCGCCCGCGTTCCCCCGGGTGGCGGGGAGAGCCGAGCCGCTCCCGTTCCGGGCGGAGCGGAGCCTGCATCGCTCCGAGCCGAGCCTGCATCGCTCCCAGCCGAGCCTGCATCGCTCCGAGCCGAGCCTGCATCGCTCCCAGCCGAGCCTGCATCGCTCCGAGCGGAGCCGCTCCCGTTCCGGGCAGAGACCATCGGTCTGGTTCCGGGAGGAGTGGAACTTGAACCATCCCGGGCGGAGCTGTGTCAGTCCGGATCGGGAGGAGCTGTGTCTGTCCCTTCCCGTTCAGGAGGAGCTGTGTCAGTCCGGATCGGGAGGAGCTGTGTCAGTCCCGTTCAGGAGGAGCTGTGTCAGTCCCGATCCGGGCGGAGCCGTGTCTGTCCCTTCCCGTTCGGGCGGAGCCTCCGCCCCTCCATGGCCGCTCCGCCGCCCGCCGAGCCCCCGGTGCCCCCCGGCCGGCGCTGCCCGGCGCTGCTGGCCGTGGAGCCGCTGCTGTTCCTGGCCACCGTGTCGCTGGGGCTGCAGGGCCCGCTGGCCACCCAGTACCTGTGGGACCGGCTGGGAGCCGAGCGCGGCTACAGCGACCGCAACAGCACCGACTCCACCGGCTGCGGGGACAGCAACGGGACCGCCGACCCCCTGCGGCAGGTGGGGACACCGGGGAAACGGGGGGCCCCGGGACAGCCCGGGGGAGCCCCGGTGCAGATGGAGAACTCGGGGGAGAGTCCGTGGGACCGGGGAGGCACGGAGGGAGTGGAAGCTGACGGTGGGCAGCGGGTCCCAGGGGAGAGGGAAGCTGTGGGGGAGCAGGGGGAGAGAGGTGCCCCAAGGGGAACAGGGAACTTGAGAGGAGCTGGGAGTCCCTGGAAGCAGGGTCAGGAATGTGAAGCTCCGAAGGGAGCAGGGGGCCCGGAGGGGAAGGGGAGCGTGATGGAAGCGGGGAGCCCCAGGAGGAGTGGGGAGCCCAGTGTGGCACTGGGTACTGCTGGAGCTCCTCAGCCGCCTGTTTCCCCTGCAGGAGGTAGAAGCCCTGGTGTCCCACTGGAACCTGTACATCAACCTGGGAGGCTTCTTCGTCAGCCTGTTCTCCGTGACTCTCTTTGGCCCATGGAGCGACAGCGTGGGCCGGCGCCCGGCGCTCATCCTGCCGGCCGCAGGCATGGCCCTGCAGACAGCCGTCTACCTGCTGGTCATGTACCTGGAGCTGCACGTCGCCTTCTTCCTCCTGGGTCGCATCTTGAGCGGCCTCACGGGCGACTACAACCTGATCCTGGCCAGCTGCTTCTCCTACGTGGCCGACACCAGCGAGCGGCGTGCGCGGACGTTCCGGGTGGCCACCCTCGAGGCGTGCCTGGGCACCGCGGGCATGGTGGCCAGCATCGGCGGTGGCCAGTGGCGCAAGGCCCAGGGCTACATCAACCCCTTCTGGCTGGCCTTTGCTGCCAGCCTTGCTGCCACTCTCTACGCCGCTTTCTTCCTCCGGGAGTCGGTGAAGCAGAAGAAAGCGGCCAAGCTGTTCACGCTCAGCCACTACAAGGCTGTGTACAGGCTGTACACGGCCCCAGAGCACCTGAGCTCTAGGTGGAAGCTGGCTCTGTACTCCCTGGCTTTCTTTCTGATTGTCACGGTGCATTTTGGAGCCAAGGACCTCTATGTTTTGTATGAGCTCGGCTTCCCTCTCTGCTGGGCTTCTGACCTGATCGGGTACGGCTCGGCCGCCAGCTACCTGGCTTACCTGAGCAGCCTGGCGGGGCTGAGGCTGCTGCAGCTCTGCCTTGAGGACACCTGGGTGGCTGAGATAGGACTGATCTCCAACATTGCTGGGCTGGTGGTGATTTCCCTCGCTACCACAACGCCACTGATGTTTACAGGTGATGCTGAAGGCTTGAATCCCTGTTTCTCAGGGTTTTGGCAAGTTGATGCTGGTAGTGTGCTTCACGGGGAGTTCAGGCACGTGAGGATGTTCTGCCTCGTGCTCCAACAAAACTGTGGCTTGCTAAGGGCAGGGCTGGCCAAACACTGAAGTTGGAAGTGCATCCATGTAGTTCCTAGAACATCAGGCTTCCCAGAACTGTATCACACTGCAGACACAGACTGAAGTGAGATCCAGGAGAGTAGATTGTGTCTGAATTTGGCAGGGAGACACCGCCAGCAGCTGCAGATTTCTGGGACTGACTTGGGAGACTTTATTTTTCAGTTGAGCTTTTCCTAATGTGCTGTCTTGCTCACAGGTTATGGAATTCTGTTCCTTTCCATGGCAGCCACTCCAGTCATCAGATCCAAGCTGTCCAAGCTGGTCAGTGAGACAGAACAGGGTAAGGAATTAACCACTTTTTTCTCAGAATATTGAAGCCAAACTCTGGGGAGGTTAGGAGTTCCCTGGCTCCTCTGGACTCCTTTGCCCCTGCATTCACCCCCAGGCCCAAGGTATTTTTTTTTTCCCCCAAATAATTGTCATTATTTGATTCAGACTTGCTGCATTTCCGAGATGAGAACAAGGGAAGAAAAACAGGAATA